ACTAATATAATAAAAATGATAATTCTACCTAAGCTAATTTACTGATTCAGTGCAATGCCAATCAACCTACCAAAAAAATTATTGTATAGAGCTAGAAAAAATTATAACGAGACTCATTTGAAAGAATAAAAAGTCCAGAATATCAAGGGAACTAAAGAAAAGAAATGCTAGAGAAGGTGGCCTAGCCATTCCAGATCTTAAATTGTATTATAAAGTAGCAATCATCAAAATTACTTGGTACTGGCTAAGAAATAGAGTGGTGGATCAGTGGAATAGGTTAAGCATACAAGACACAGTAGTCAATGACTATAGCAATCTACTATTTGATATACCCAAAGATCCCAGCTTTTGGGATAAGAATTCACTATTTTAAAAAAAACTGTTGGGAAAACTGGAAAAGAGTATGGCAGAAACTAGGCATAGACCAAAATCTCATACCATATACCAAAATAAAGTCAAAATGGGTTCATGATTTAGATACTATAAGCAAACTGGAAGAGCAAGTTATAGTTCACCTGTCAGATTTATGGAGAACAGAAGAATTTATGGCCAAATAGGAGTAGAGAACATCATGAAATACAAAATGGATAATTTTGATTACACAAAATTGAAAAATTTTTGCACAAACAAAGCCAATGCAACCAAGATTAGGAGGGAAGCAGAAAGCTGGGAAAGAATTTTAACAACCAATGTCTCTGATAGAGGCTTAATTTTTAAAATATGTAGAGCACTAAGTCAAATTTTTAAGGATGCATGTTAAAGAAATTAGAGGAATAAAAAAATAGGCAATGAGAAAACAAAACTATCACTCTTTGCAGATGATATGATGGTATACTTAGAGAACCCTAGAGAATCAACTAAAAACTGGTTGAAATAATAAACATCAGCAAAGTTGCAGGATACAAAATGAACCCACATAAATCATCAGCATTTCTGCTTAGTACCAACAAAACCAAGCACCAAGAGATAGAAAGAGAAATTCCATTTAAAATAACAACAGACAATACAAAATACTTGGTAGTCTACCTGCCAAGACAAACCCAGATATTATAAGAACATAATTAAAAAACACATTTCACAGAAATAAAGACAGATCTAAACAGTTGGAGAAATATTAATTGCTCACAGGTAGGCCAAACCAGTATAATAAAAATGACAATCCTACCTAAGTTATTTTACTTATGCAATGCCATACCAATCAAACTACCAAAGAATTATTTCATAGAGCTAGAAAAAATAATAATAAAATTCATCTGGAAGAACAAAAGATCAAGAATATCAAGAACTCAATTAAAAAAAAAATGTGAATTAAAGCAGTCTCGCACTTACAGATTTCACACTATATTACAAAAGTGGTAATCATCAAAACAATCTGGTACTGGCTAATAAATAGATCAGTGGAACAGATCAGGTACACAATACACAGTACTAAATGGCTATAGTAATCTAGTGTTTGACAAACCCCAAAATCCAAGCTTTGGGGGTAAAAACTCAACATTTGACAAAAATTTTGCCAAAGCAAAAAGTAGGTATAGACCAACATCTTACACCTTATACCATGATAAGGTCAAAATGAAGAAAAGATTTAGACATGAAGAGGAATTTCATAGGTCAGTTAGGGGATCATGGAAAAATGCACCTGTCAGATTTTTGGATAACAGAAGCTTATTTACCAAACAAGAGAAAGAAGTGATTATGGGAAGTAAAATAAATAATTTTAATTATATGAAATAAAAAAGCTTTTTCACAAATAAAACTAATGCAGCCAGAATTAGAAAGAAAATAGAAAACTGGGGGGAAAGTTTCATAGCAAGTTTCTGTGATAAAGGCCTCATTTCTCAAATATGTAGGGAACTGAGCCAATTTTTTTTTAAAAGAGTCATTCCCCAAATGGCTGAGCAAGTTGTGGTATGTGAATGTAATGGAATACTATTGTGCTATAAGAAATGATGAATAGGCTGACTTCAGAAAAACCTGGAAAGACTTATATGTTCTGATGCTGAGTGAAGTGAGCAGAACCAAGAGGACTTTGTACACAATAACAGCTACGTTATGCAATGACTAAGATTGTTAAACTGAACCCTTCTCAGCATTATGAGGATCTAAGACATCTCCAGAGGTCTCGGGATGGAAAATGCTGTCCACATCCAAAGAAAGAACTATGGAAGTCAAATCGCTATCACTTATTTTTACCTTCTATTGAGTTTTGTTTCATCTTTCTGATTGTTCCTCCTGTTGGTTTTAATTTTTACTTACAACTTCACTAATGTGAAAATATGTTTAATGGGTATGTAAATGTAAAGCCTATATCAGATTGTGTGCCGTCTTGGGGAGGGTGGGGGGTAGGAAGGGGAAGAAAAATTTTCAACTCAAAAGCATATGGAAGTGATTGTTGATAAATCAAAATAAATTAATAAAATTTATTTTAAAAAAGTCATTCCCCCATTAATAAATGGTCAAAACAGGCAGTTTTCAGAAGAAAACAAAACTAACAATAGACACATAAAAAATACTCTAAACCAGTACTGATTGTTGTTATAGTTCAGTTGTTTCAGTTGTATCTGACTCTTCATGACCCCATTTGAGGTTTTCTAGGCAAAGATGCTGGAGTGGTGTGCTGTTTCCTTCTCCAGTTAATTTTATAACTGAGGAACTGAGGAAAACTGTGACCCTTGCCCAGGGTCACACAGCTAGTAATTCTGTGAAACTGAACTTGAACTCAGGGACTCACATCTTTCTGATTTCAGGCCCATTGTGCCAGCTAGCTACCCCCCTACTGATTAGAGAAATGAAAACCAAAACAACTCTGACACACCACTTCACACCCATCAGATTGGTTAAGGTGACAGAAAAGGAAAATGACAAATGCTGGAGGGGATATGGAAAAATAGATAGCAGCTCAATTGGAAATTGAGGGGATACTCATCAGTTGTTGTTGTTGTTTGTCCTTCATTCTTCAAGAGGACTGTAATGTCTGGGAGGTGAAGTCATGACATATAAGTGAATCAGATTTAAGTACTGGGGAATAGCTGAACTAGTTATGGTGTATGATTGCGATGGAATACTATTGTGCTACAAGAAATGATGAGCAAGGTGCAGCTAGCTGGTACAGTGGATAGAGCACCAGCCCTGGATTCAGGAGAAGCTGAGTTCAAATCTGGCCTCAGACACATAACAGTTACTAGCTGTGTGACCATGAGCAAGTCACTTAACCCTATTGCCAAAAAAGAAAAAGAAAAAAAGAAATGAAAGGATGAGCAAGATGGTTTCAGAAAAACTTGGCAAGACTTATATCAACTGAGGCAAAGTGAAGTAAAGAGAAACAGAACTTTGTACACAGTAATAGCAATATTGTAAGGATGATCAACTGTGAAAGACTTAGGTACTCTGATCAAGGCATTCTGAAAAACTTATGATGAAAAATGCTATCTGTCTCCAGAAAGAGAACTGATGAACTGTGAATGAAGATTGAAGCACACTTTTTTTACTCTCTTCATTTTTTATTGTTTTATTTTGTTTGTGTTTTCTTTTGCAGCATGGCTAATATGGAAATATGTTTTGTGTGACTTCACATATATAGTCGATATCAAATTGCCTGGCTTCTCAAGGAGGGAGGAGGGGCAAAAAGAAGGAAGAGAATTTAAAACTCAAAAATTTTTTAAATAAGTGTTTAAAATTTTTTCCATGTAATTGGAAAATATTTAATGAAATAAATAAAAATTTTAAAAATTTTAAAACATTTCATGAAAGATACCCCACAAAGAGTGCTGGTTTTGAAGTTAGAGGACTCAGATTCAATTCCTGGTTTTGTTCCTTACTACTTGTGTGACCTTAGACGAGTTGCTTCAGCTCTCTGGGCCTCGGTCTCATCATCTGAAAAATGAGAGGGTTGGACTAGAAGAACTTTGCATTCTCTTCCAGTTGTAAAGCTATTACCCTATAACCTATGCATCTGTGATTTATATCAAGAATGCAAGATTGATTAAATATTTGGAAAAGGCAGACCATTTGTTGATGCATTCCTCTCGTTAATTTTTGCCAACAGGAGGATTTCAGTTTGATGAAAGCACTTTGGCTATTAGAGCACTTTGGTCGTCCCTATTCCATCCTAATTTTTATATGTCCTCTCTTGCCCCACCCCCCAGTAGGAAATTATGAGCTCACAGAGGCCAGGAACTGTCAGGTCTTTTTTTTTTTCATTTTTGCAAACAATGCCTAGCACAATGCCTTGCACTTACTAAATATTTTTGAATTGAATATTCAGAGTGCAGTATTTCTTAGAGAGCATTTTCGCAGAATCTGGTTTCTTGTTTTGATCAGCCTTATACACTCAGCAAGGCTAATTATTTTTTGATATCAAGACTTCCTATACCCAGAGTCAAATGAAATAAATCACTTTTGATATCTATGGAATAAAATTACTGTGTGAAAATATCAAAGAAATGTAAGTCCTTGAATTTTGTGCATGGATAGTATCTTTGTTAGTAGAATAAGGGAAAGGGGTAAAAAATCCATAAGGGGGTAAGTTTCCAAAATGTGTAATTAAGATTAATTTAGTAATCTTTTCTCATTAAGCTAAATTTTTGTAGGGTAATGAAAGATTTGTATATGGTGTTGTGTAGGATTAAGGGGATTTGATGTTTGACATCACTTCTTTGTCTGCTCAGGTCTACAGATGAGAGTTTATTGAGTAGGGGATAAAGCATTCAGTTAAGAACGTTCCCTGAAAAAGAGGGGGGAAAGTGGAGAAAAATTGCTTTATTTTCATCAGTTGCTGGATATAATGACAGCTGTTTGCCCACAAGCCATATGGATTTTTTCATCCACTATAACGAAGGCAACATTGAAGATAATTAAGGCTGTGTGATGCATTGGTCTTTTCTCCTACCTCAGTCTTCCTGACATCATTGGCTTATATGCAGTTTTTAATAAGAAGACATTAAAAATGAAGGATCACTGACAGGCTTGGTTGTATCTACTGCATTTCTATTCCTTTAAAGACATGGTGTTCCGACTGTTACTCTTCACAGGCCTCTGGCTCACAGTGGTCTTCAACGTCCTTGCTGTCCCTGGAGCCAAGAAGCAAGAGCAGCAGTGCTCATCTGCAAGGAAGTCAACCAGGTAAGATTTCTGGTATGTAGACACACTAGTCATTATCATGATTCTCCCAGGGCCACTTCTCAAAGGCCAGAAACCAAAGAGCTTCTTCCCTTCACCGGGAGCAAAGCTTTATGGTGATTGCCTACTAGTCTCTAGGGATGGCATCTGTGCTTCAAGATACCAAGCTGTTTGACACTTTCAGAAGCAAGATATTGGGCCTCTGTTAAAATTTCATACTAGAGCTTGGAAAAGTGAAAATATGTCATCTACCCAACACGGGCATTATCTTTTACAGAAGATACATCTTTTTACAGAAGCCTGTGAAGAGGGAGCCATATTCACTTATATTTGAGTATCTAGTGAGAGTGTAAATATATACTATTTCTGAATTCAAATTACTAACAGTGATAAATCTTAGAACTTTTAATGGGTTAGCAAAATTTTTCAAAATATCTTGGGTAAGGTTAGATTAACCTGCCATTTCCTTTAATATTAAGGACTAATGAGATATACTTGATCTTATACTTTCTAGTAGTACTAAAAGACAATAAGTAACATAAAACTAGTGTGCCTTTAAGTAAGGACAGACAAAAATCTGAAAGTTTATACTTCAAAGCAAAGCTTCATCATTATTATCCTTATCAAAGATCATCAATAAAATATCCTCAATAAGAAAAATAACATATAAAAAGATAAGGGAGACCATTCAGAGGTCTCAGAGAAGGAAATTCAGAGAGGGAAACAGCCTCAGGGTCTATCTATCCCAAAATGGGTAAATGGTTGCCCTCTACAACATACCAGGCAAGATATCTTGAAGCTTTTGTTTAAGAATCCCTAGCTTTAATTAAAAAAAAAGTCTACAAAAGAAATCAACAGATCTCTTTCCCCTCTCCCTTACTGAATCAAGTATGAAGATTCCTCACTTCCAGTTATTAAAGCTAATATACTACAACAATAGCTCGAATTTACATAGAACATGACATTCACAATTTCATTTGAGGTTCACAATAACCCAGTGGTGGTTAGTATCATTATCACTATTTTATATATGGGGAAACTGAGGCCCAGAGAGATTGAGTGATTTCTCCAAGATCACATAGATGGTAAGTAACCAAGTCAAGATTTGCAACCCAATATTTTTTTCATTACAAATCCAGTGCTCTTTGAACTATTCCCCAGCTGCCTTTTCGAGAAGCTAGTCCCTCAACTATTTTTAGGAGATTGGGGGAGTAAATTTTAACAGAGACCATTAGTGTTAAAAATGGAAGCAATGAAAGGTTAAGTGATTTACTCAAGATAATGTAGTAAGGTAGGAGCAAAGTAAGACCTGAAACTTAGCTATTTAGAAGCACCTGAATCTTCTTTGGGACATGATGAGAGAAAGTTGGGGGAGGAAAGGCTAGACCAGGGTTGGGGAACCTGTGGCCTCCAGGCCTTCTAGGTCCTCAAGGTCCTTCTAGGTCCTCAAGTGAAGTACTTTGAGTGAATCCAAAAGGGCCAAACTTGTGGGCCTAGAAGGCCACATATGACCTGGAGACCACAAGTTCCCTACCCCTGGTAGACTATACCAGATAGTTAGTGAGCATTTTTAGGTGAACTTTGCAGTAAATTGCAGTACGGTAGAATATTTTTTCCCACTTTCTATAGTTGTTTTTCTTTTGGAACCTAAAGAGAAGAAGCCTTTTGAAGTCTTTTCTCTTTTTGAAGTCCTAAAATCTTGGAACTTTATCAGACAAGGAACATTCATCATGAACAGCAAATCTGTTGGTTGAAAATGGACCACAAGTTTTTTTTCTTTTATCTTCAATTTAGAGATGGAGTGGGAAACAAACGGGCAAGCAAAAATGGATTTTTGTTAATTTTTTTAAATAAAATTTCAAAAATTTTGGAAATGTAAATAGATCATGAGTCTATGCTCTGTGACAGGAGACCACTTACATCTCTTAGCAGTCTCTTCAATGATGAGAGAAGGGAGAAAATCAGTCTCTAATAGTTCATGTCATATGATTACATCTTTAGTCAACATTCAACAAAGAACAGAACTTTAGAGGATATTCTGAACTCAACCTCCTTGTGGAGTTTCCAGGACTTTTAAAATTTTTCTTTCTTTGCATTCTACCTCAGCTAGAGATCTTCTGAGAAACAAGTTTTATTAGTCCAGTTTTATTAGTTTCTCTCAGATTCTTTTATTCTTCAATGGAAAAAACCCTTAGGGCACCTCAAAGAGTAAACAGATGGCTCTGGTTCAGAAGTAATCTTTTAAAAAGAGAGCCACGCATATAATGCGACCCAGTTCTGCAGATTTTAAAGCTTTCGTTATTTATTCTCTTGGGAAGAAGTTTAAAACGTTAATCACAAATACAGAGGCTTGGCAGAGGCAAGAGCAGAGTGGCAGCAGAATAGCATAGTGTCATAGAAATAGCACTATCTCTGTAATCAAAGGACCTGGGTTCAACTCTTCCCTCTGATTCTTGCTACCTGTGTGATCTTGAGCAAATCAAAATGTGACAGTTGGACTACACAATCATTGTGACCCCTTTCAGATATGTGGTCTGTGATTGTTTCCCTCTAATGAAAAAAAAATGGAAATTCACTATTAGAACATTGAGAAAAGAAAAAAAAAGGGAACTTTAAAAACACTGTTTCTTAAGTTGGTTTGGGAGCATAAATTATGAAATGAGTTCAACTACATCTTGAGTCTGTTATCCTATAAATGATAATGGCTTTGCCATTAAGCTTTTGTATTTGGCAGATCCATCCACCCCAACAACAGTAGTACTCTATGACTCTTTCGGTTCTTAAAACAGATTAGCCTGTCAAGAGATATGATCATTGCAAAAATGTGGATCTGTAGAAATGTTCTTGTCTTGAAGGGAGAAGCTAATATATCTTTCCACAATAATGGTCATGTTAACCAAAGTTAACCAAAGCCTTTATTAAGGGATCTGCTATCAACCAAGGCCAAGTCTAGAATTAGACATTAATAAAATATTTAATCAATCTGATTCACTATGACCTGTCTAAGCAGCTCCAAAAATAACAGAGATTTGCCAATCCTACCATAAGAGAAGTTTTCTTAATGAGTTAAGTCAAATTGGGTCCAACAAAGTTTTTGGTTGACACTTGGTACTACGTTTTTAAGAACTTAATGTCATTTAGGACTTCGGAACATAGGATTATACAGCTGGTAGGATCTTAACAAGCAGTATAGTATGGTGATAAGAATGTTGCATCAGTAAGCAGAGACCCTAAATTCAAATTATTGCTGTGCTGCTTCTGACCTTGGTCAAGACACAATATCTCTGGGCCTCAATTTCCTTACTTGAAAAATGATGGAGGGTTGGATTAGGTAATCTCTAAGGGGCACAGCTAGGTGGCACAGTGGATAGAGCTCCGGCCTTGGAGTCAGGAGGACCTAAGTTAAAATCCAGCCTCAGACACTTCAGACTTACTAGCTATGTGACCCTGGGCAAGTCATTTAACCCTGATTGCCAAAGCAAAATATTAAGTTTTTTAAAAAGATAATCTCTAAAGTAGATAGAGTGCTGGGCCTGGAGTCAGGAAGATTCATCTTTCTGTTCAAATCTGACCTCAGACACTTACTAGATGTGTGATCCTGGGCAAGTCATTTAACCCCGTTTGCCTCAGTTACTCATTTGTAAAATAAGCTGGAGAAGGAAATGCCAAACCACCCCAGTATCTTTGCCAAGTAAACCCTAAATGGGGTCACAAAAAGTTGGACACAACTGAAAAATGACTGAACAACTAAGGTCTCCTGTAGCTCTAAATCTATGATTTGTCTCATTATTTTACCGATGAGGAAACAAAGGCTCAGAAAAAGTGATACTAAGGTTTTAAATTGAGTCAATAAAAAGCTTAGACAAGGACCCAAGTTTCCTGACACCTAGTCCAGTAAGCATGCTGCTATGACCTAAGAGAGAATCCCTGTTTTTTGTTTTTAACTTTCAAAACAGATTATTTAGACAACAAAATGTTTTACAAATTTTTACCTGCACTATTTACTATGCTCCCTTTGTTTTTAACTATTCATTACTTCCCATAAGAATTTGAATCAGACAAAAGATAGTTTATGTATATATTTTATATATATATAAAATATATACACATATATACATATATGTATATACATACAAATATATAGATATATCTATATCTACATCTATATATGTATGTATATATGTATGTGTACATATGTGTTGTTTCTGCTGACTTAATGTGTATGCTCCCTGAAGACATGGATTGTTTCATTTTTGTTTTTATATTTCCGGGACCTTACACAAGGTCTGGAACAAAGCAAACACTGAATAAATGCTTGTCTATTAATTGATTTATTAATAGTCTCCAGTCCCTTCATCATTCTTTGGACTCATTCTAAATTTATTCATTCATTCAACAAACATTAAGGGCCAATTATAGTGAAAGTACTGTGTGTTCATCCTTTTTTCCCCTCGTCTAGAATGATCATGAGATCAGAGATTGAGAGCTAAAAGAGAGCTAAGAGGCCACCTTATCCAACTCTCTCATTTCCTTATGAATCATAAGGAAATAGAAGCCCATAGAAGTATCTTATCTGAGATCAAACAGTATATGGCAGAGAGGAATTTGAACCTCAGTCTTCAGAATCCAAATCACCCTGTTTCCACCATCCTCTCCTGTTCTCTTCCTTCAGTTTCCTCCTCTCTAACATAAATCCTAGGCTTCCATCAAGATTTAGTTCAAGAATTGACTTCCTCAAGGTGCTGTCCATCTCCAGAGAAAGAACTGATGGATCCTGAATACAGATTCAAGATACTTTTTCTTTTCTTTCTATATTTTTCTTGAGGGTTTTTGTCTGTTTTCTTTCTTAGCACGACTTACATGGAAACGTGCTTTGTATGACTACACATGTATAACCTATGTCAAATTGCTTACCTTCTCAATATGAGGGGGGGAAAACAGGGAGGGAGAAAATTTGCAACTCATTTTTGAAAAAAAACACAATTTGAAAAAAGAATGTTTAA